TTTGTATAAAAAAATATGGCCTGGAGGGGGCGGGGGGGGGGGGGGGGGGGGGTGGTTATCGGCACAATCTTTACTATATTACAATATTCTATTCTACATGAAAATAGTCTTAGATAATATTTTTTCTGACATATATTTATCATTGCTTTGCTTATTTTTTTATGTTATAACACACTGGTTTATTTTGACAAGATACTGTAATCTAAAGGTTGATATCAAAGAGAGAAAGCATTGTAATCTTTCTATTTGCGTACAACAGACATTTAACAGTAGGATGCTTGTCATACTTCAGATAAATATAATGGAATTGTGAAGTGTAATTATAATTGTAATTGGTTATATAACCCTGTGATGCCATGTTGCATTTAAATGGTTCCATAAACACAACCATTGGAGGGAGAATTAGGGACAATACTTGTTCATGGCCAACTGGGTTAATTTGCAATTATGATGCACATAGACAGAAGCAAATACTAACAGTGCCAATCTGGCTGCATCAAACCAGAAGCTCACAGCACCTTGGAACTCAATGCCAAGTATATGCAAGGTCAGAGAGATGGCAAAAATAGCATCTCCATACCACAGCAACAAAGAGGCACCCAACAAACATAACTATGGGCACCCGAACAGGATACATAAAATTCTTATGGGAATGTAGTGACCAGGAAAATGCACAGACCTGAAAACTCATAAAACATGAGGCAGTGTAGCCAAGAGAGATGAGAAAGGTTTTACAGACTAAACGTTCTCCTTCATCAAAACGTCACCCCATAAATTGGAAAATATATGCAAAAAATTGTTAGATATTATAGAGGGTTTTTTTTTTGTGTGAGTAGATCTGAATCAGGAGCCTGCCAGATACAAATAGACTTTGGCATCTAAAGCTACAGCACTCTGCTAGGATTTTACAATTTGGTTCGCAGTAGACCTTCAATGATGAGCCCAGAGGTCCATATGTAAAATGAAGGGGGAAACATCAGAAACATTGTGAATCCAGAATAAATCCAGGAGCTAACAGAGGCTGCTAAAGGCCACCAGTACATCATGCTGGTAAACAGCAGGATACAAGTCACTGTAGGGCCCGTGTTACCAGGCTGTGGGCTTGTATAATAGCATTAATTGGATATCAATTTAGGATAATTAAAAATTTACTAACAGGTGCATTTCATCTGCAGTTGAACTCTTTCCAAGGACCTGCTTCATGTGGGTTTTGCATTCCCATAGACTTGTATTGATAGACTAGACTTGTGTTGATGCAACATTTGAAGCAACTATTTGAAGGGGACCAAAGCCTGTCAACACTTGTCTTTAGGGACCTCGCCTTCACAACTATCCAGGAATGACAATTAGCCTAGCAACCTGAGTAGGGGCATAAATGGGCATGAGTCATCACACACAGCTTTAGGAACATTTAAATTATACAAATTTGTTTTACTGTAGTTTGTAATCAGTTTAACAGTAAAATATGCAAATTGAATGGAATATATATAGTATGTTACTGTACAATACCTACTCAACTTAAACAAATAAGCAAGCTGTAGGGATGAGTTACAGGTCTGCACCAAATGCCTGGGATTTGTAAAGCCTTTGGCCCTGGTCAGCTGAGTCACAACAGCCAATAATTTCTAGGGATGAGTAACTCAGCCGACCTTCTATAAAATGGTGAGCTCACAGCAGCCATATTGTCAGTGTTTGTTGGAGCTCCCCAGCCTCCAGAATGACAAATTACAAACTAATAATACAATATTTGTCATTGGTAAGATTGTAAAATCACATTGTAACATGTGTGGACAGCATTACTGTTTGGCCAACCTACACCCTGTATACACTAAGTTTAGATTATTTGTTGATTTTGTATTTTAAAAAAATAAAGCTGGCCATACATTATGCAAATTTAGTAAAATTCGCCGAGTGGGAGCCGCTGTCAGCACCCTTCCAGTGGGCATCCTTTACTCAGCAGATCGAAGTTGCTGGTTGGAAAATCTCCGAATAAGCTGCCAACTCTGCTTGGGGCTTCTGACAGCTACTGTCAGAATACAAAAGAAACAGCGGGCATTTCTCGATCAGCGTTCATAAGCGTTGATCGAGGAATCTGCTCTATTTTTTTTAAATTCAGCCTGCGGGCTGAAAGAAAAAATACAAAAAATAGAACAGTGTATGGCCAGCTTAAGGCTACCATTTGCAATGACCTACATATTTCTTGTGGAGCCACCACTAGTGCACATAGAAAACAATGATTTTCTATGTGTCCTATTCACACCACAATGCTGATGTGATGTGTGTTATGGAAAAATGCAGACATGATGTACTAAATGGCACCCCAGTGCAGCATACCGTGCTGCAGTGCAGAGACCCGAATGGAGTACATTCTCAATACAGTTAAAAAAGAAAATGGAAAAAGTAAACCATGTGATGAGCTGAAACACCGCATCACGGTTACACAACACCACAAAACCCTACACAATTTTGATTAATCTTCCATACATTAAGCTTGGTTATTAATGAAAATTATGGGGGAATTTACTAAAACTGTAGCAGACAAAATCTGAAGCAGTTGCCTAGAGTAACAAATCAGCTTCTATCTTCACTTTGTTCAGTTAAGCTTTGAAAATGAAAGAGAGAAGCTGATTGGTTGTGATGCAAATTTGCACCAGATTCTGTCTGCTCCAGTTTTAGTAAGGTCCCCTTTCTTTTGCAGTGATGTCACCAAAGTGTTACCCTTTATGGTTTAGTTATGCTTATTATTTTTGACAAGAGGTGCACCAGGTGCACCTATCACATTTAATCCTTAATACAATGATGGCTACCAAGAGAATCTGCTGTGACCACTATTTAGCTTCTTAAATAAACTCTACAATAACCAATAGTTGCATGGTGGTGAGGATCTGATTCACAGTAACCAATTATTAGGGACATTCTCTGTTTTTCTCTGATAATGTGCATGAGTTTCAGTACTGTTTGTCTGGGTGCTTTGGCGCAGAATACAGATGTCACCTGTTTAGAATTGCAGTTGTGGGATGGGTTATGGCTTGTTATGTCTGGGGAGATCTGGAAGGTTTTGAGTGTAAGTCCTGGATGGTATCTGTGGGAGATACATGCAGTTCATTGTTGTCATTTGTCCAAGGGGAAGCAGTTGCAGGTTGCAAGTGCTGTTGTCCACCCCACGACAAGGCCAACCCCCCCCGAACTTGGTATTTTTGCAAATAAATCTTAATTTTTCTGGTACAGGGATCCCACATATGACCGTTTTTGCATTATTGTAGCCTGTATTCACCAACTATAGACACTTTTGTCCACTAAACATAGAAAAAAACTAGACAAATTCCCCCCATAGGCCAGTTTTCACTCTATAAAGTTTGTTATTGCCATATTTCTAGGCTGGCCATCCTCCTTTTGTTAAAGATTAGAAAAGGGAGATTGGCTGTACTCTATCGGAGGACGGTGTTTCCAAATCATTCTCCTTGTCACATATTTTGTCCATAGCTAGTAGAGCTCAGAAGAGGAATTATAAAAATCTTTCACGATGATATTACTGTCCTACTAGACTTCATTCTATTTACCCTTCTGTTTCTGATGTCTGCTGGCGCTGCTTGGCCCAGTCAGGCACAATGTTACACATATGGTGGTCATGCCCTCTCCTCGCTCGTTTTTGGAATGGTGTTTTTGACACCTTCGATCAGTTGTTGGCAACGTCTGTTGAAAGATTCCCTCAATTGGCTCTCTTGTCTTATCTCTTCAACAAAAAAGAGCATATTACGATTCTTCTTAATTGCTGCTAGGGCAGTCATACCAAGGCACTGGAAGTCAAGTACTCCCACCTCCCTTAGGGAATAAGTGACTGAATTACAATCTATTTATCGGAAAGAACTCACCACTGAATTGAGCCAGCTGAATCCACAATTATACGCTGTCTGGAGCCTCTGGTTGCATTTCTGTACTACCGATCACTTCTGTTCTTTATTGATTACCTGAACTCTATGCCTATGTATGTGGAACTTCCCCTTCTGGGCCCTTAGGCTGGCGACTGACATCCTTCTTTTCTCTCCTTTGTCTCTTTTGTTTTTCTTGTTTGCTTCACTCTTTTCTTTGATTGTGGGCTATACTCCTACTCTGATATTCACGATGTAGACTGCACAAGTACAGTGTACCCTCTATTGAGCATCTTGGAGGGGCTCGTTCATGTTATGCACTTAAAGCCTTACCTTTTGACATCACTGCCTTGCCAAATTGTACCTAGTCGTGTTTAAATGACAATGGTCTCCAGAACCAATAGTAAGGGTAAATCTCCCCAGCAGTAACACAGACAGCACATAAAACCAAACAGGGGCTCTAACTATTCCCCTCTCAATTAAAAAAATGGTTTTACATACCCTTATACAGCTTACCATTGGATGAAAATATTTCACTGTGCAAAAAAAAAGCTACATATTCGCTGTGCATTTTTATTACATGTTACACCTAATCCATATAACTGTCTTCTAACTGCATTTCTCTGTTTGTGTTTCAGTGCAGATGAAAGATTTGATGCAACTTTTCATACTAATGTTTTGGTCAACTCTTCTGGTGCCTGTCAATATATCCCACCAGGTTAGTGTCAATTTTTGATCATTTACTTTAGTTTCGGTGCCAGCAAATTTGATGTAATTTACAAATCTCGTTGGAAAATTAACAGTCACTTTTTTTTTAAAAGGCCCTGAAGTTTTGGCTGTGTGAAATTAGCCTGTATAATGTTTAGCAAGGGGCACATTTAAGTTAATCTGTCACTGGAGAAACATGATGGCTACCATTCCTGACCTCTCCTTCTGAAAATGTGTGTGGCTGCAGTGCCAGGAAAAGGTCCCTCAGCAATCAAAGTGAAGATGCCAGTTTTCACTCCCTCCTCCCACCATTTATACAGACTATTTGTCAAGTCCAAATACTTTCAGGTGCTCAGAGTGTATATGCTGCCTCCTGCCTTCCACACAATTAGTGCTCAATGTCTGAGAGGCAAGTCATCAAGCCCCAGTCATGTGGAGACATGACTAACCCAATGGAAATACTTCCTTTCAAAAAGTTAGTATTTGCACAGGAATTGGGGAAGGGGCACTGCTGTCATATAGGAAAGGTAATGGAATGCTGTAAAGGTACAAGCATACACACTCTAGAGCAATGGTTCTCAACCTGTGTAACCTCAGGACCCACATTTGTCCTTGGTCATTAAGTCGCGACCCAAGTCGAACCACACTGGAACGCATGGCATTGTGGTACCTTGTGTTCCAGTGCAGGCGATCAAACTGTGGGTGGGAGGTGTGTTTGGGGTGCCATTCAAATGAAAGGCAACGCAACTCACCTCCCGCAGCAGAATGCATGTTAGGTGCAATTCCGTGGTACACAGACACAATCTCACACACAGACATTCCCACACACACATACACACTCCCAAAAATGATTTTAAGATCCACCCAGTCTCCCTACCTTACAATAACTGGATTGAATCCTCATCCTGGAGTCTAGTGTGAGCTGCTGTGCTTTGATGGTGCTCCATCCATAAGTGCATTGCTTGTAAAGCTCACATGCACGCCCTCTGGAGGTGTTTCTTTTCTCCTTTTATAATGTTTCTTTCTTTTCTTTTTTTTTTTGCATGAAAGAGCTTGTTTAAAGCACACCTTTACCCATGTCTTTAAAATAACAACAAACACTCCTTTAGACATGTTTAGTAATGACAACCTACAAACACATACTTCCAGATAATTGCAGGCTTTATATTCTTTAAATACCTTATTTATATTTTCTTCCCCAGTCTTCTGACAGTGGCAGGATACTAGCTCTCCATTTTTCTTCCTGAAAATCTGGCGCATGTGACTAGACATGCGACTAGGACGGGTGACCATGCACATCATCTCAGGGAAGGAAAATGCCTTTCCCTGAGATGAGATTTCTCAGCAATGCTCTGCTGATGTAACCTTCCCAGGATGCAATGTTCGGGCAAACTGAAGTCATTTTGCCCTTTTAGAGCAGGAAGTAAATGCTCTGCAAGTGTAAGTATTTCAAAATCGCAGCATTTTACACCTGACATGTCTATGTTATTATTAATCATCGTACATAGAGGGATGCATTGGTAGAATTTGATTTTTGAGTGAAAAGGTCCGCTTTAACAACACATATGCTACAATGTTAGACAATGAGTCAGACACATGATTAATGAAGCTGTTAGCAAGCAGTGTTGGCCTGGCATACCTGTTTGTCATCTGAAAGGCCTCTCTAGTTCACTGTTGGACATGTGCACCAGCAAAAAAATTGTTTAGTTTAGTTTTGATTCGGATTTTGTATATTTTGTTTTTGGGTTTCGGGTCCGCAATTGAATTAATTGCGGGATTCGGATGAAATTCGTTTATTGGACGAAATTTCGTTAGCAGCAAAATAACATTAGAATTTTTTTTTTCAGTCTGCAGAAAAAAAAGTGTGAGGTTCCCCCCCAATTCATACCAGACCCTTTAGGTCTGGTAGGAATGTTAGGTGGGACCCTCCCCCTGGTTAAAACAAAAAAAAAGTGCGTGGGGTTCCCCCCAGTAATTTTAAGGGGGAACCTCAGCCCCAAAAAATGGGAGATAAAAAAGTGGGGTTCCCCCAACAGTCCTACCAGACCCTTGATCCGAGCACTGGCCCGGTAGGGAAGGAAAGGGGGGGCGATCAAGGGCCCCCCCTCCCTGCGCCTTACCAGGCCACGTGCCCTCGGCATTGGGAGGGTGTCCCCGTGTCGATGGGGACAAGGGCATCTTCCTCACAACCCTGACCCGGTGGTTGTGGGGGTCTGCGGGCAAGGGTGCTTATTTGCATCGGGGTACCCCTTTAAATAAGGGGGCACCCAGATGCCGCCCTCCCCCCTTGTGATGAGTAAGGGGTACTTGCACCCCTACCCATTCACTAAAGGGTTAAATCAATGCAAACGGATTTGTTTGCATTCGATTTAGGTGTAATTCGGAATTCAGATGTATCCGAATCTCCGTATTTCCGAAAATTCATCCGAATTTTGATTCGGAATGAAAAGAATCGCACATGTCTATTCACTGTCTTTATGAGATGAGTGTATGAGGCAATTTCAGCCACATACTGTAGGCCTAGCTCCTGGTTATCCACTCTGTCCATTACTGCACATTTACAACTCACCATACCCCCGGTAACACCAATATGTTCCTAGCTTCCTTGCATCCTCACATTGCAAGAAACCTGCGTTATTGAGTACCTCCTGGGTAACTTGCAAGCTTCAAAAGCTATCCACTTCCTCTTCAAGTATATATCCTGAATTATCAAATTATTGTACAGTGTTAGTTATGGATATTAATCACCAAGTAAACACATTTCTTTATAGAAATAGATTAGAATGATAATAACTAAATGCATTAACTTTTTTCAGGAATTTTAAAGAGCACATGCTATATTGATGTCCGGTGGTTTCCTTTTGATGTGCAAAGGTGCAAATTGAAATTTGGATCTTGGACTCATAATGGATGGCTACTTGACCTACAAATGTTAGAAGCAGATATTTCAAATTACATTTCTAATGGAGAATGGGATCTAGTAGGTAAGAAAGCTGAACTAAGCCTTTTTTCTATGGCTGCAGAAATTAATTATTAATTTTTCAATTAATCGTTAAACTTTTTGATCGATTAAAATTCTTTTGATCGCTAATGAAAACACTCACATGTGTCCTTGGCATTAAGTTGCACTGCACTGGAACACAGGTTATTGAACTGTGGGTGGCAAGTGCGTTTGGGGTGCCATTCAAATGATTGGCAAAGCAAACCACCTCCTGCACAAGAATGCGCAGCAGGTGTGATTGTGTGGTACATTGCATTAATTGCACGGTACTCAGTCTCACACACACTCACAGACATTCTCACACACACATACACACTCCAAAAACATGAAAAAAAACACGGTGGCACACGCGGTGTGTGGGCAAGGCCAAGGGGGTTGAGCCAAGCCAAGGGTGTGTGGTGTGTGCAGGAGGCACACGACTGAGACTGTCTGAAGGAACAGACAGTGGCCTGAGGGCTACGGCTGAAGCAGCGGTGCTGAAAAAGGCAGAGCTAGGAGCCTGGATATGCATGTGTTCCTGTGCATGAGATGCTAAAGAACCCCTACGAGGGTAATCACATTGTATAAATGACTTTCATGTCAATAAAAGTGGGCAAGCAAGCCCTTAAATAAACCTGTGCGAGTGCTCTGTGAGCTCCCCAACTTCATAGTACATTGCTTGAACAGCTCCCTTGCGTGCCCTGTAGAGGTGATGGGAGCCAGAATGTGATGTCACTCTGGTCCTGGAACCTTTACAGGGTATGCAAGGGAGCTGTAAGCAATGTGTGTATGGATGGAGCTCCCTCGCGGCCATACCTCCAGCCCATCCCACCTCAAGCTGATACTCGGCACCGGGCAGTATATTTTGAATGGCTGCTTGGTGTGAGAACTGACAGTGCTGCACTAAGGGGAGGCTGGTGAACCTCTCACCTGGCGCAGTGGAAGACACATGGTGACCCACTGAACACGGGTTTGTGACCCACTTTTGGGTCGTGACCCACCAGTAGAAAGCCACGGATCTAGATAATAGGTAATAGATGTTGTTTAGAAAGTTGATTTCTCCACTTCCTTGTCTCTCATTTAAAGTGACCCTAAACTCATTAGTTAAATCTTAAAAATGCATTCAAGTACCTTAACTATTAACGGAAATGCAGCTTATTTGTGTATCACTCAGCTGTAGATCCTAAAATTCATGCTGAGACTGTCCTTCCTTCAGGAGGGTGGCTACTTTTGTTCCCCATGGTCTCTGTGTGAGTAGCCACCGCTACAAGCTCACTCCCATGATGGACTACAAATTCCATACAAATTAGTAAACTAAACATGAGATTGTAGTCCATCACGGAAGTGAGTTTGGAGTCGTGGCTAATTTACAACACACACAGGGACCATGGGGAACAAAAGTAGCCACCCTCCAGAATGATGGTGATTTGAGGATCTACATCTGAGTGATACACAAATAAGATACATTTCTGTTAATAGTTACGTACTTGAATTCAATTTTAAGATTTGGCCCAGATCCAGCTGATTCAAGGCCTAAGGATGGTGTAGAATATCATCTCATCTGCTGGCTGTTTACTTTTTTTTAAAACATTGAAAAAATGGTCCACCACCAACCCATTTCCCTGTCTACCTAGTCCTGGTAATTAGAGTTTAGTATAAAAGAAAAACAAGTTTTAAAATACTTCTACTTATTTTTAAGCTGATACTGGTTCCTGCCCATGATCTCTCATGAGATCTGAGCCCATCTTGATTTTATTGTGACTTCCTATCACATCAATTTTATTAGATTTCTTCTTGTATTCATTTGTTTCCATAATTGGGCAGACAATGCTCTAGTAATTTTTTTTAACATTTGACACATATATTTTTATGTCAACACATATAAATCGTCAAACCCAGATTTCCTTAAATTCTTGTTTTATTTCCTACACACATCACAGCATTAATTTGGAAACATAACTGAAACCCTTTTAGTACCATCTGTCAGTTACAACCTAATTCCTCAAGAGAAGGAATGAGAGAATTTTCACAAAACCTATTTCAAGTTGTCTAGCACTGATTTGCATCAACATATTTTAAGTAAGAAACTCTGAATTCTATAGAAATATGTTCTATATGCTGTATACAGGATTTTAGGTATATTGCCTCCAGAATTATCTACAGTACACTAAAGAATTATGGTGTGTTGATGATGTATTAGAAAATGAATTTAAGAAACAATTTCACATTAAGGTTAGGCAACACTAAAAATACAGGTCTGGGAGAAGTCTAAAGTGTTGGTAAAGTAAAAAAAAAATAATAATTTAACAAAAACATAAAAAATGTACATTTCAGAGTTATACAAAAAGGCCTTTTCAGGGAAGAAGTAATGGGTTAACAACTCACAGTTGTTCTGCAGCAATGTAAGTAAATTAAGCCTTGAAAGTTTATGCTAACAATTCCTACAGCAGCCCCAGCTATTGTTGATAACCCACAAGTCCTCCGTCTGTATTAAAGCAGTGTTGGAACAGACTATGGTACTACACCCTCTTAAGCAATATTTGGACAGTATTGTACTGCAGGAAGTAGTATATTGCTCTCAAAATTTCAAGAAAAAGGCAATTAACAAAGGAAGCCAGATAGACCATTATAACCTTTAAAAGTGTAGGTATTTCCTTTAGAGAAATTGCAAAGAGAGCCAAGGTGTCAGTGATTACAGTTTTTTACACGATCAAAAGGCACTAGGAAACAGCTTAACATTAATCGAAGTAAGCAAGTCTCAGTTTCAACTGTTAAGATAAGACTTTGAGCTGCAGCTTTGACAGGTCAAGTAGCAGTAAGAAAGCCATTGCTAAGATGGAAAAATAAGAAAAAGAGGCTTGCCTGGGCCCTTAGGCACCACCAGTGGACTACTGAAGACTGAAAGGAGGTCTTATGGATAAATTAATCAAAATTTGAGATCTTCAGACAGAACTGCAACCTACAAGTGCTACACATTTGTGGGAACTTCTGCAACAGTGTTGAAATAACTTTTTGAACAATATTTGATTTCCATTGTAGAAAGAATGCCACAAGTGTGTTCGGTGGTTATATCTGCGAAAGGTGGCCTCTTTGATGAGTCAAAAAATTTGATTACATTTTGTTAAAGAAAATTATTCCATGATTTCTTTTGGATGTCCAATTGTTTATTTATTCTATGCTTTATTTTCAGAGCCCATTGAGACATTAAACTACATAAATTTCAACACAAACTGGGAAAATGGGGGTGTTCTATGGGTGCTCATCCACAAAAAAAGTCCATACAAACCCAAAGTAGGTATAGAGGCACTCATGGGTCTTACAAAGGAGATAAGTCAAAGCATCAGCATTTTAGTGTCAATGTTTCAATGGAAACATTGACAATTAACAATAAACACTTGCCAATAAAATGCTGATGTTTTGATTTATGTTTGCTGCAGTGAGTGCCTCTATACCTACTTTGGATTTATATACATATCAGGTCAGACAGGTTTTACATAGCAATTATCTACAAAGCTCAAATTAAGGCCAATGAGTGCTGTGGATGAGAATGTAACGTTACTTTGTTCAGTGACAGATTCAGCGGTTTTTATTCCAATGTACTTCTATAAAGCTGAACTCCTGAACTGAGAAGTTAAACACACAGCTGAAATACATACATCTGAGCTGTTTCATCTCACAAAGCATTTGCAATTCTCTGTAGCCCATTTTGTGATCACGGCACGGAACAGTACAGATATGTGACCTCCACTGTAGCACAGGTCAAGGCAACAATGCCAGTAGGAGCATACAGATAAAAACAAAAAGGACAGGAGCGCAACTACCAGAAGTGACGTAAATGGAATCGATTTGGCCTAGTTTGATTCCATTTACGTCACTTCTGGTAGTTGCGCTCCTGTCCTTTTTGTTTTTATCTGCTGTTGTTAATAAACAGGGTCCTCTCCCTGTAGTGAGGAGCTTTGCACACCTACAAACAACAGCCATCCAATTGAAGTTTGCCCACAGGAGTGCGCTTTATCTCTTTTTTTGTGTTTTCCAGTAGGAGCATACATATGAAGTCAGCCCTCTGCTCACTCTCCTCTCTCATCCAACATTGTCATCACATGTCTTTTTTAAGCCTTTCTTTCTTTTTTAAGCATACTTTTGTTGCATCTAAAGATACATTTAGAGGGTCATTCACAAAGGAGCCGAAGGATCCAGTCGCAGCTTCGTCTGATCCTTCGGCTCTCTTTGACTGCCTCTGCCATTTGGCTCAGTCGAACTTTAAGGCTACTGTACGGGCTATACACTGGCCCGTACAGCTCCCGAAGTCGGCCAAGCCAGCCGTGATTTCATGGCTCGCTCCGCCCAGTTGTAATGACAGATTAGCATCCTCAAATGACCTGGGGATGTTGGTCTGTCACTAAGCAACAATTGGGCGGAGCTGGCCGTGATGTCACGGCTGGCTTCGCCCAGTTGTTGTGCTGTAATGATAGATCAGCGTCTTCAAATGACCTGGGGACGCTGATCCGTCACTGAACAACAATTGGGCGGAGCCGGCCATGACATCATGACGTCAAGTGACACCCAGTTGCTGGAAGACTCTGACAGGTGCCAGCAAATGTAAACAGTTGGGCGGAGCTAACGGTGATGTCACCGCTAGCTCAATTTTGTCGAGTCATTGCCATCGTGGACAAAGCTGGACGATGTGATTGATGCTGGATTACCTCTGTGGATCCATTGTTTTTTTTTAATTAAAGGACTTTTTCAAAAGTCTGGCCTCTTTTTTAAAATTTTAATGTAACCAACCAGGTGCTTAGGATTTGTTAAACTAAAATGATTTTAACAGAGTAAATAAAGATAGCATTTCATATAAATCTAAGGGGAGGACACACAGGTGGCAATGTGCATTATACTATGAGAAAAGTGGTAGGTGTAGGCAACCTCAGCACTCCAAATCTCAGTAGGTTTTTGGCTATCCTCCAAGACAAGTGTAAGCAACCTCAGCACTCCAAATCTCCAGCTGTGGGGAAATTAAAAATTCCATGAGGCATTGCAAGACTCTGACAGACACAGGCATAACTCCCAGAGGCATGATGGGATTTGTAGTTTAACCACAACTGGAGTGCCAAGGTTGCCTACCCCAGCTCTATGCCAAAAAAAGCATACTAGCTATGGGTGGGATCGGTAGACCAGATTCCAATCAGGCATTTAGTAGAGGACTGCTTCCATGAAATGGAAATTCAGTTTTTTTCTTTAGATAGAAAACCTTCTAATGCTGTGCTACTGACAATAATTTGTTGTATTTACAATATCTTCTTTGTGTTGTAGATGTGCCAGGAAAAAGAAATGAACTATATTATGATTGCTGCAAGGAGCCATACCCTGACGTTACCTACACAGTGACCATGCGCAGACGCACTTTATACTATGGATTAAATTTACTGATACCATGTGTCCTTATATCTGGGTTGGCGTTGCTCGTGTTCCTTCTGCCTGCTGATTCGGGAGAAAAGATATCTCTAGGTTTGTAATAAATGATTTTCAAAGTAATAATGGAAAATACATAAAATATGTTCTCAGCGTTAGAATTATATCTTATGATATTGTCTGCTTATTTTTGCTATGCACATTATTATTAGTTTGACTAGTTTGCTAAATTTGCAAAACAATGCACAAAAACATCAATGTTTTTCATTATGTATCATAGGTAGGGAGATGGTAGTAGAGCAATTAAAATGTAATCAAAGTCAGCATGGAAAAATGTTATGTACAAAAATGATCAGCAATACATCAAAACATTTAAAGGTAATCTAGAATCAGTTTCTCAAAATACGTTAATGACTCATGAAGCATCACTGAGGACAGTTTTTGAGGCACGTTCTTCCTCTTCTAGTTCCAACCAGATATGTAGTAGAAGGAAAGCATACTCCCAAACTTAAAAAAATTAAATAAAAACTTAGGGCATATTTCTCTCCATCCAATCCCCCCACCTCCTCAAACACCTGTCTCAGTTTGACTATAGGTGGACATATCACAATTACAACAAACCCAGATCCTTGCAGGACCTGAAAATTGCGACCATCACACCAAAATTGGGACTATTAGATGGTATGAGTTTGATCTGAACAGTAAAACCACCTAAAATGTCTATGTATAATGTTTATATATAATTTATTAGCATGGACGTTATTATACATTTTAGATACCTAAAATATTCAGACGGATCTCTTATATACTATTTTTCAGATACTAGTGCCGATACTTGGCATTTTCACGAGAACTACCAGGGTTGCAGTGGTTGTAGCTGGGAAACTGTCACATGACAATAAACAAAAATGTATCAGTACTTGTACTTGTATGTACTTGGGCAAGTATCAGTACCTGTACTCGCAATAGCGGTATCTGTGCATCCCTTTATTTATATTTATAAAAACTAAATCATACATTAAATCAGAAATGTACAAATCCCAGGAGCTCCGTGTGCTCTTACAACTGACAGCTGCCTCCTATGTTTTGAGTTTTTCTCTAGTCTCTAGTCTGTACTTGTACCAAGTACGGTACTTGGTATCGGCGCATCCCTAGCTCCAAGTCTAATAGCACAAACTGAGGTTAACAACAATGTTTTATATTCTATATGGCATTGTACATGGAAATTAATATATGATGCACATTACATAAGTGTTCTTTATAATGTAACACATAACGCAGCTAAAGGATGACTACTGCAACTTTTAAAACTTCTTCAAACTGTGAGTGAATTTGCTTTGATAAATGTTCATTTTTCACTGCATTAAAAGCGGAAGTAAACTGCTATGCACAGGGTGGGGGTTTAAGTATGGCCTTCTCCAGCACTGTCGGATCCTCAGCCCTGTCCCCCGCGGCCTCCGCTGCTAGCAATTCTGGATTCTTGGAAGTCCTTTTCGTCCATTGGTTGGCCACTAATGATGTCACTCCTGTGCATGCGTACAGGAGTTACATCCTCCCCGACACCAGACTCATTCATGGCATCTTATGGGCTGAGTGAGAAAATACAAAATCACTAGGAGAAAGAGGGAGAATATTTTTGGGCTTTGCTTCTCTATCTCCTAGAAATTTGTTTTATGTTTTACCCTTTACAAATACACTACTATTTTAACAATCTTTTTCTACTTAAAATGAAGGAATTATTTAGGACAAAGTAGCATACAAAGCCATAACGGTGAAACATGTTAGAGTCTGAAGATAATGGGGAGGAATTCTAGGGGTGTGTTTTCCTGCTCCTATATAAAGATTTTCATTCCAGTGATTTTCTGTGGAGTGCTGCATTTTTCTGGACAGTTCTGCTATTGTCAAATGAAATGTCACTTTGTACATTTCAATAAAGTTCTAATAAACAAATAAAAAAAGAGTTTACTGTGCAATGCACCTTTTCGAGCACATCAGATAATCAGAATAATAAGTCACTAGCACTCCATAGGTTCTCCAAGCAAAGTTCTTTTTATTCCATATGTAAAGTTACATCACCAAGTGTAGCAACGTTTCGGAATGCATCACTGGATGCGTTCCGAAATGTTGCTACACTTGGTGATGTAACTGTACACATGGAAATAAAAACTTTTCTCTACAGAATCTTTGGAGTGCTGGTGACTTACTATTCTGTTTAACTGATCCAACGGGGCTATCCGCTGTCATTTCAGCACCACCCCATTGGAAGTTGGGGCGTTCTTGGTCAGGAGTGTGGTGGGATCCCCTATATGACTCTTCCAGCACATCAGGCACTGAAGCCTTCACATTGAACCAACAGCTGCATTATAAAGCAACTGTTGGTGTGAACGGGCCCTTAAACAACAGGCATTCAGCATCCTACAATATGTAGGGGGTGGGGAGCCACAGCGTGATGTGGGGAGACACAGATGCTGAAGATTCTAGTGATGGCTGTAGTTCTGCCAGAGAGCAGAGATAGGTGTCAAATGAGGCCAATAATGGTAAGTACTACACATATATTTCAAAATGTTTACATTTTTTCCAACAATATTGTATCCTTAACTGCAGTGAATTAACACAATTTAAATTAGGATTACGTTTTTTTCCCCTTTCATGCCCTAGGCATCACTGTTCTGTTGTCACTGACAGTCTTTATGCTGCTTGTAGCAGAAATTATGCCTGCAACATCCGATTCTGTACCACTAATCGGTAAGTCAGTTTTTTTTTTATTGTGTGTTTGGCTTGTACCATTTTACACCTAAGTAATAAATAATGCCATCATTGATAAAGTTTATGAGCAGATTTCCTTTAAAACCTAGACATTTCTGTATGCGGCACTCCTGTATCTATTGAAGATTGATGTGTAATCTTTAATTCGTCAATCTGCATACAGCATATGTCTCAGACAAAATACATTTATAGACATTTCTGTAATTGGCAAGAAGGGTATAGAATTTATTTGTTATTGGTATTTATATAGTGCCATTCACATCAGTCCCTGCCCCAGTTACTGTCTTTCATTGGTAGTTTATTTTCCTCTATCGGATTATATGATCAGCACACCAAATCCCTTTCCTCCAATTTATTAACAAGACTACAACAAGAGTTTACCATATTTCCTTTATGAACAGATTTATTATCCACCTCCTTCTCTTGATGCAAGGCCAGAGCACTGATGTTCTTTGAAATTTTATAAATTCAACATCGTAGACTGTAAACTGTATACATAATTTTTTCAGCTTTTTAATTGTAATTATTAGCGGGTATAAGCACAAGCAAATAAGCACAAGTAAAAAACCTAAGAACAAACATCTATAGTTGAAGTTGAACTGAAGAAGTGAGAAAATGACTTCTCTTTGATATAAATGTGAGATTTGTGTTATAACTCAAGAACATGACTGGAGCATAGTACTAAAATAATCAGCGTCGAAACATAAATACTTTTGTTTGTGACGATTGTTATCTTTGCTGCATCTCAGTAAGGGCTTGGTAACACCAAAATGTATGGATTAGTGTGCCTTGCATCACAGGTTGATATGGAAATCATGCTGACATGGAGATGGAGATGGTTGACATGAAGATGGTTGACCTTAAGATGAGACTGGTTTACAAAATAAAGTGTGAATATTCACTTTAATTATCCAGTCATGTAAAAAGCAAATTACTGTGCAAATGAAATAAGTACATTGGAATTTGCTTTTAACATGACTGGATAATTAAAGTATTCACACAATTTGTGTGAAAATTCTCAGCCCTCTTGTGTTTTTTAAGGACCCTGTATCCGTTCACTTGAATGGCAGTGTTCCAAAAATTCAACTAGAAGGCCTTTTTTCAATACACAGGGCTTTTAGTGGGGCATGGCTCTAGTGAAAGCAATGGCTTTTCTATTGCCTGTAGTAGAATGTGCAAAATATTTGCTATAAATGAACCATTATATTTAAAACATTGTTTTTCTTTACAAAATTTGTATGCACATGAATAATTTTGTTAGACAATTGGACAGTTGAAGTATAAACAGCAAATCATCCAAAAATAAAGTGAGTTGAATGAGACTGATTTCAGTTATGGTCAATAGCTGTAAATGCCTTGAGGAAGACATTCATGCAATTCCATGGCTGGATGAACTGAAATGTTTCTAATTTGCTTTGCATAATGTATTTGATCTGCATTTTAATAAGTAATGATCTAATTTAGGGTTGCACAGATACCAAGTACAGTACTCGGTACAAGTACGAGTACATGTACCGATACTTTTGAGCTCCAAGACTGCACTAGAGAAAAATTCAAAAATTAGGAGGCAGCTGTCATTTGTAAGGATTACACGGAGCTCCTGGGATTTGTACATCTCTGTTTTAATGTACGATTTTGTTTTTATAAATATAAATAAAGGGATGCACAGATACCAGTTTTGCGAGTACGAGTACTGGTACTTGCCGAGTACTTACAAGTACGAGTACTGATACATTTTTGTTTATTGTCATGTGACAGTTTTTCTAAAACAATACAGACTAATGATTTCAGGACAGTGGTGGAGTGCCAGAGCCAGGTCCCAGCTGCAACCACTGCAACCCTGGTAGTTCTCATGAAAATGCCAAGTATCTGCACTGGTACTCAAAAAGTATCTGTGCAGCCCTAATCTAATTGATAGGAGGACTAAAAGAATCAGATTTCTCTTGTTTGTTGTAGTTACAGCAAACATAATCTCAGGCATTTTATTAGAGTATTCTGTGATGCTGAACTCTTTGTGACAGTCAAATAACCAGATTTCTCTTGATTGCAGTAGTTACAGTGAAATGTAATCGCAATCACCTCATTAATGTCTCCTATGGTGTAGACATATTGATAACGTTGAATTAAACAGAATTCTCCTGTTTGTAGTAATTGAAATAAAATATAATTTCAATCAAAGTATTTGGTGGTGTACAACTCTTGGTGACACTGTGTATGGATTTGCTTCTTTTACATAATCATTGTTTATTGAAAGACAGAACAAAGTAGTGTTTTACAGTGTACAAATACTTCCAATCGCCATTCAAGCGTATCATAAGACATTGGTGGATGATTAACACAAGTTAACTGGAAACATAAACAGGCATTAAAGGTCCCAGAGGGACATCAAGGTATTGAGTTCCTTATAGCCTTTGTAGAATTGATCAATCTAAAGATTTATAGGTGCACTTAGGGTCTCTAACTCTGACTGTATAACACATTATTATTATTATACAGGATTTATATAGCGCCATCAGTTTGCGCAGCGCTTATATAGCGCCACATGTACTCGGGCCACAGAATCTACAATTTAGGATACTGATTTGTTTCATATGCTGTTGGCACAACACTGAAGCTACAACTGGGAGGCAGTTGAGTTTTAAGTGTTGTGCCTAGCTGTGGGGCTTAGGTTGGCTGTGTGGGTTAGTGAGTAAAAATCAACACAGATACTAAAATCTCATATAAACTTTAATATGTTAATAATTACAAAAGTAATTTTGAGTAGTATTTTTAAATCTTCAGCTTTCATTACCATTATACCTGGTAATCCTGCTATGAAGGGCCTGCCTTGCCCAGACCCTGGATATTCCTGTAATTTGGCATGGCACTGCTCTGTCCTTTTCTTCCAGTTGTGCTCCTTTGTTCCCAGCTGGTCACATACAGTGGGTTTCTTACGGAAACTGCAAGTGGTTGTTTCAAAACACATTACACAGGTATGGTCCATTGTTGTCACTGTGACAGTAATGAGGTCTGGGCACCTCAAAACTAATTAGGCAACACCATCGTCCCCTCAGTTTGTTGAAATTCACCACTAATAGACATGATCAAAATAGAATACCCGTTAAATATAACTACTTGTGTTAGAGGGTCTTCAAACATGATTAAATTCCACCAAATGACCAGAGCACCAAAGGATCTGATTTTCTATAATTTGTTATCTTATCAGTCCTGTATGATGGCCTCCACCTTTTAATGAGGGATTGTAAAGGAATGACAGCCAGAACACTTTACAGATACCAGTTGAATACACAAAAGATAACAAAACTAGTTTCCGAAATATACATATATACAAGTGAAACTCGAATAATTATAATATCATCCCTGCTGCTTGTGCACCTTTTTCTTCCACACTTTTCCCTTCCACATAACTTTCTATTAATGTGCTTTGATACAGCACTTTGGGAACATCCAACTTCTTTTGCAATTACCTTTTGAGGCTTTCTCTCCTTATGGAGGGTGTCAATCATGGTTTTCTGCACAACTGTCAGGTCAGCAGTCTTTCCCATGATTGTGATTCCTACTGAACCAGACTGACAGACCATTTAAAAGCTCAGGAACCCTTTGCAGGTGTTATGGCTTAATTAGCTGATTAGAGTGGGACACTTTGAGCCTAGAATATTGCACCTTTTCACAATATTCTAATTTTCTGAGATTGTGGATTTGGGGTTTTTATGAGCTGTAAGCCATAATCATCACAATTATGACAAATTACGGCTTGAACTATCTTGCTTTGCATGTAATGAGTCTATCTCACATATTAGTTTCACCTTTTAAGTTGCATTAGTGAAATAAATGAACTTTTGCAGGATATTCTAATTATATTCTTAAGTTTCACCTGTATATATATCTCATGAAACACTGGTCGCAGACATACCAAGCACCCACAATAATCTATGGTCTATGAGATGGTAACATGTAATCAATAAAAATATGCCTGCATTTAGGAAACTGACATTATGGGAGGTTCAGGTGGAAGAACAAAAAGCACTTCAGCCCTCCTGTCTCACACCCTTGGGCTTTTCTGATTGGGTGGGAGCTGGCTCGATGACCATCTCTAGAAAGCCAATAAAAAGCTGCATCTGGAGCTTTCCTTTACCATCAAGAAAGGAACATCTGCCAAGAGACTTGTTTCTAGAGAGCCAATATCAGATCAATTTTCTGCTTTATTGACTGGACTCTGCTGAAACCCAAAAAAAAAACAGTCTTATTCCCCTATTTGTTTTGCTGCTGCCATATTTGTCTCTTTTGAGTAACATCTTTTTTTTCTGTAAAAAAAAACAAAAAACGATCCTTTAAAATCGTTTAACTCTACGCTCTAAATCACTTAAGAATCCATATCTCTGTGAAAAGCACTACTATATTGTAAAACCTGTTATATATCCTGTCTGTGGCAGCATGGTGGGCTCTGACATGCACATGCATTTAGACATGACGTGGCTGGAGTAAAGGAAGTAGTCACAAAGAGGCAACAGGAGAATTTTTTAAAATAAAATTGAATTTTTTCATAATACACAGAGATTGATTCAGTTAGTGTGTACATCTAATTTCCAACTGTCTCTGATGTCTAGGCAAAGTGACGTTTTTGACAATTTGTCTCCAGGAGTTTTTAAGATAGCAAATTTGACAAGAGTAATTAAAATCTCTTTCTTTCTGCATGTTTTGTTTAATTCTTTTCAATTCTTCATCTTATGAATGTTTTTAATGTAAGTGCTTCCTAATGTTTAAAATTAATGGCTGCCTAGAAAGAGCAAGGTTTTATGGTAGCATACGCATTATCTCTCTAACCTACTGGAAAAGCTTTGGAAAGATTCAGTTGTATCTACAAGTTGTACCTTTCTGTTTCTATTTATTTCCATCACAACTGCCCTCTCTTTATTCGCTGGCCTGATAGGTTGATGTTGTGATTATTATTTAATGCACACAAATACAACCCTACTGAA